GCCATCTCAGGGCCTGGAAGTTGGCTGTGCTGCTGGACCAAGGCCTATCGAGTCAGGAGTGTCCTTAGTGTCCTGYTAGGCCGCAATGGAGGTGGCTCCCAGACAGTGGGCTTTGGAGACTGAAGTCCTGCGAGGGAAGACTGGGGCCTGTATAGAGAAGGCAGAAAGCCTGGGAGAGTTTTGTTGGAACCCGAGGCTTAGGATTGGAAATCATTCTCCTCCTCAGAGGCAAGATAACATGGGAGACACAGACATGAGAAAAGGGGATGGTCTGGGAGAGGTTCCTGAAGGAGGCAGGGCCCAGGCTGCAGGCTGGGAGGGGTTGGGCAGCCAGAGCAAGGCGAAGGTGCTGGGCTGGGTGTCACTGGCCTCTGGGGCTGCAGGGCTSAAGGGAGCTTATTCCTTTTGAGGACATGGAGTATCCCTGTCTGCCTGTCTGGAGTGCTGAGGTTTATGCTAGACATGAAGTTTGGGGGAATGGATAATTGGTCATGGGTGAGGCTGGAGAGAGAGTGATTGCTGAGGGAAAAGGAGTTTATGTGATGACATTGRAGCCTGGGAGGGGAATCTCAGACTGAGCATAAGCCCAGATAGACTGGCCCAAAATTGGAGGTGTGGACAGTGAAGTCAAATGATTGACTGGGCTGTCTGGTCAAGGCTGGGCGATGGCAGACGTGGGACAGGAGGCTGATGCTAGGTTGTGAGAGGCCTTGAGTGCCAGGTGCAGGGGTAGGTCCATGGGAGGATTCTGAGCAGAGAGGGTGTGAGAAAGGTCCTTCTGGTCCTGGAAGACTGGTGGTCTGGGCAGGCAGCATATGTCTAGCAGCTCGGGAGGTCAGAATCCTCAGCATTCCTGAAGGCTATGGAGTAAGGGTGCCAGCCGAGGCAGAGGGACGAATTCCCTGGCAGAGGCAAAYGAGGCTTTGCACGTGGAGCCTTGTGAATTCACCGTCTGCCCAGGGGGCTGTGAAGTGCCAAGTGTGTCTGGAGCCCCGCTGAGACAAGGCAGAGAAGTGGCCGCATCATTTCATGAAGGGTCTCAGCTTCCAGGCTGAGGAACTTGAACTTGGTCCTGAGGCCACTGGGAGCTTTGAGTGGCGCCTAAGTCACATGCCCCATGGTTATGAGAAGACTACGCTAGGCCAGTGTGGGAAGGGAACTGGCAGCCAAGAAACCAGAAAGAAGTCTGGCTCTGGGGTCCAGATGAGGGAGGGAGGGGCCAGAAATGGGGCTTAGAGAACATACAGAAGAGTATGGCTCAAAGAACCTATTAGGGTGTGGACACACTAGAACTTGGTGGCTGTCTGGCTTTGGGAAGTGAGGGAATGAAGATATTCAAGGGTTTGGACTTATGCAGATGTGAGACTTCATCAAGATCCTGACCCATGAGGGTGACAGTAATGCTTTTTTAAGAGTGAAGAGAAATATAAAAAAAAATTTTAAGGGAGAAGAAAAATATTTAAAAATATTAAAAAATTTGACTTTTGGAGGGGATGCTCAAATTTATTCATTCACTCATTCGTTCATTTATTCAACTACTATTTACTACTATTCCCCTACCTTCTCCAGGTGCCTTTGGTGATGCTATCATGCTAGCATGTCAGGACAGAGCTGGCCTGCCTTCTTGAAGCATGAGAAAGGCAGACAGTGAAACAGCAGATCCATAAGTGTTCAAAGCCATGCTGGATCCTGATGTGGGGGTGAACATGAAATAAAGTGGTGAGATAAGTTATTGCCTATGTGAACTGACATCCCCACCAGAGGTTTCAGTGCAAAATGTTACTTTAGCTGAGTCCTGAATGGCCAGAAAGAATCCACCCTTCTGAGTGGCAGAAAGGAACATTCCAGAGAGAATAGAAACAGAGGCCCTCAAAGTGGGAAAGGCTGTCAGGTTGAGCAATGGCAGAACCGTGGTGATGGAGCCAGGAAAGGAAAGCCAGCCAGTCTGCACAGCCTGCAAGGGCTTTGGGGTTGATTGTAAGCTCAGGTTTCAAGTCAGGTTAAGATAAGATTCCATGGGCTTAAAAGATATCACCTGGGTACTGCCACGGAGAAAAGGGACTAGAGGAAGGGACGGGTGATGGAGACAGTGTTGCTATGAGCTGGGAGTCAATGTTGACGGGGTGGGTTGGGGAGAAGTATGAGGTGCCAGCCAATAGGATGGCCTTTCCTAACCTGGGACCAGGCAGATGCAGGTGCCGTCTCACCTTCAGATGTGTGATCTTTGACCACKGTGTGATATCTTCTGTAAAATAGGGATCCTCGTGGCATGCAGTTGGTGAGCCTGCTTTGAGTGTTCTGCACATTAGCAATGACTGTCCCTGAATAAGGGCTTAATAAATATTGGTCATTGTTGCTATTTTCTGATACTGGGGTGGGGCGAGTATAGCTCTCATGGGTGCAACTAGTTAATGGAAACTTGAGAGCAGGATCAGGGTGGGAGACTCAGATTGGGTAGCTGTTCCTGTTGACCAGTCATTCTCAACCAGGAGTAGTATTGCCCCTAGAGAACACTGGGCAATGTGGAGAGACTTTTGAGTTGTCACCACTAGAGCTTGGGGGATTGTGCTCCACATCCTGTAGTGTACAGGATGGGCCCAGAATGAATGATCCAGCCCAAAATGTCACTGCTGAAGTTGAGAAGCCTGGTTAGACAGAGGGAACAGTTGAAGTTTGTGGGAATGGTGACCCAGAAAGCAGAAAGGGTAACAAACTCAAGTGTCTCCAATGTGCAGGCAAGTGAACATCGGGTGAGGGGGGTCAGGTGATCAGAGCAGGGGTGGAGCCCTTTAGACCAGGCAGGCCCTTAGTTTACCAGTCTCCAATGTCCCTACTACTTCCCTTTCCCCTAGATGTGTCAGGTGTTCAGTGTCAGGGATGGCTGTTCTAGACATAAAATTACCAAAGCAGGAGGTCATCTAAGGCAATGATGTACAGTAGAAGYAGAATGAGCCCCATATGAAATTTTAGATTTTCTAGTAGTTATGCTAAAAAAGGAAAAGGAGCATGCAACATTAATTTTAATACATACCTCATGTAAACCAGTATGTATCCAAAATCGTATTCCAGAATATTCAATATAAAACTTAGGTTGAGTGCAGTGGCACAAGCCTGTAATCCCAGTGGCTCGGGAGGCTGAGATAGGACGATTGTGAGTTCAAAGACAGTCTCAGCAAAAGTGAGGTGCTAAGCAACTCAGTGAGAAACTGTCTGTAAATAAAATACAAAATAGGGCTGGGGTTGGGGCTCAGTGGTCAAGTGCCCCTGAGTTAAATCCCTGGTATATCAAAAAGAAATAAAAAAAAAAATATATATATATATATATATATAAATTATTCACATGATAGTTTACTCCCCCTCCAACACTGAATCTTTGGAGTCTGTAGGGAATTCTGCACTTAAGCACATTTTATTGCAGATTAGATGTGTCAGGTGCTTAGTGCCAGGATGGCTGTTCTAGATAGCACAAGGTTAAGGGAGCTTTAATTTTAGCTTAATATAAAATTGTTTGGATCACTTGAGGGTTTCTGGAGAAGACAGGAGACTTTTTCAGTTCCAGCTGATTGTTGCCACATCTGGGGATGTTTATTTCCATGTGTGCCTGGGAATTCGAATCTGTGCACTTTCTGGCATTTGAAATTTGAAATATCTGGCATTTGAAATAGTGGAATAAAAAGCCCCAAACCAAAACTACAACCACCACCACCACTACCACCACCACTACCACCACCACAATACTCTTTGTAATCAAATCAAACATAATGATCCCATTTTGGCCCTCAGGCTTCAAGTTTGAACTGGTTGAGGGCAGAATATGTAGTGACCCCATAGGATAGGTAGCCAGTACCCACTGTGGCTATATAGATTTAAATTGAGGACTTAGGTCAAATTTGTACTTATCCTTAGAGGCATTAACCTCATTTGAGGTGAGCAAGAGCCCCACGTGGCTAGTGGCTATGACCTCACGGAGTAGACAGAGCATTGCTGCCATTAGAGATGTGCTGGACAGCTCCCTAGAAGGGGAGAGCTGGGGTTCAGGTTCTGGTCCTCGAGTTGGGCACGAGAGAAGGGTTCCCTTCTTTTCCTCTGCCGCGTCCAGCTGCTACTGCCGCTCTGCCTCCACTCCTGTGTCGGTGGTGCGTGGCTCCCTGGCCGCTCTGTGTGTGAAGTGCCTACCTACTCATCACTTCTCCGCGCACCCTGCAATTTCTCAGCGTACGCCTGGGCCAGGGCTCCAGCAGCCCGAGAAGGTCCCCGCATGCACTGCTGACACCGGGGCCTCCCAGAGCTTGTGTGCCAGGGAGGCGCACCGGGCCCCATCCCACGCTCTGCCGACGCCCTTCCAGATCACAGCCGGCTGGCAGTAAGCACCTGGGCGCTAGGCTTGCTGCAGGGCGGCCACTTCCCCACCTGCGGGTGGGGAGGCCTGCCCTTCCCCCCTGCATATCCCGCACTGCCTGGCCTTCTCTGGGCCTCGGTTTTCCCGCGTGTTGGGTGGGAAGCGCACAACTTCACACCTCTGTACACAGCAGTGACCGGCCTACTCTGGGCTTCAGGTCCCCACGCGTCCACAAGAAAGTATCACACCTCCCCACCAATAAATCTAGCAAACTCCAGGCCCAGTTTCCCCATGTGCCCACCCAAAATCTCACACGTTCCCACCCGCACATCTGGCAACTGGCCTCCTGGGCCTCTGTTTCCCCATTTGCGGACGGGAGAATCGTGGCTATTCACACCAGAGCAACGGCTGGCCTCGACCTCTGTCTCCCCATTTGCTCCATCGACAGAAATATCCCTGAGGGCCTTCAGAACGGCGGAACTGCTCAGCCAGGGAGGTGGACCGGAGCAGGGGAGCCGGGCCGGGCCGGGCCTTTGGCAGGTCCTCCAGGCCTCTTGAAGCTCGGCCGCTGTCCCCCGGTGAGGGGCCGACTTCGGCGGCGGAACCTTCGTGCCGGGCGCGCGTGTTCCCCGCCGGCGCCCTTTCCCAGGGACGCCGCCGCCCCTCGCGCCCCCGCGCCCCAGTCCCGCGTACCCGGCGCCGCCGGCCCGGAGTTGCCCGGAAGCTCGGTCCCACCGCGGCGCTCGCCAGGGCAAGCCCGGGCCGCCGGGACCTCGGCCCGCTCCCGGACCCGAGAGGCCGCTGCACCGGGTACGGGGCAGGGATGGGGGAGGAGCCGGCCTTGGGGCCGACGGGCTGGGCGGTGGGGCGGGGACGCCGCCGCGGAGGGGCTCCGGGGCACGGCGCCCCGCGGGGCGAGGAGRCGGGGGGCCGCGGGGGGCGGGGCGGGGCTGCCCGGCGCCGGACCGCCGGGGCGAGGGGCGGGAGGGGAGGCGTGCCAGCTGCACCCCGAAGGAGGGACGCGGGGCTCGGGAGGGGCCTGTGGGAGAGGGCGGCGGCCCGGGGGAGAGGAAATAAAGATGTCGGTGTCATCGGTAGCGGCGGGGGCACCCTCGGGGGGACGGAGCAGGGAGCAAGGTGGGGGGCTCGATGTACAAAAGGAAGCGGGTGAGGCGTCCTAGGGGCTGTCGATGAAGAGAGGCCAAGTGGAGAGAGCAGGGTGAGGCCTTGAGGTGCGACTCGTGGGGACAGCAGAGGAGCCTTGAGTGAAAGTGGGGAATTGGGTTAGTAGGACTCTGGGGAAGTACCCGGGGTGGCCAAGATGGGGAGGCTCCGAGGGCATCTAGTAGGTGGGGACCCTGAGGGAAAGACGCAGCCCGGGCTGCAGCTGAGCGGTGGGTCAGGAATGGACAGGTGGGGACGTCCTGGAGGCCACAGGGCTAGGGGGGTGAGGTAGAGACACCCCTGCTCGGACATTGGTTCCCACGTGGGGAACGGGAGGGCGATGCCTGCAGAGGGAGAGCCAGGAGGAAGGGCAGGGTGGAGCGGGACTTGGTAAGCCGGCTTGGAGTGGCCGGAGCAGATGGAGGGAGGCTGGAGATCTGGGCTGGAGTGCGTTCTTATTTTGTAGAGCGGTAGGTCAGTGGCGCGGAAAGGGTGACAGGCCGCGAGAATGGGGACGCCTTCCCTTTTAGGCAGCTTTTCCTGAAAGGAAGAGGCGATCTTAACTTCTCTCCCCTCCGCCGCTCCCAGCTGCCGCTCCAGATGCTGCTGCTGCCGCCGCGGCCACCCCACGCTCGGTCCTCCTCTCCGGAGGTCATGGACCCACCGCCCCCCAAGGCTCCCCCATTCCCCAAGGCGGAAGGCCCCTCATCCACGCCTTCCTCGGCGGCGGGGCCCAGGCCCCCGCGGCTGGGCCGCCACCTGCTCATCGACGCCAACGGGGTCCCCTACATGTACACGGTGCAGCTGGAGGAGGAGCCCCGGGGACCGCCCCAGCGCGAGGCGCCCCCGGGAGAGCCCGGCCCCCGTAAGGGCTACAGCTGCCCGGAGTGCGCCCGTGTCTTTGCCAGCCCGCTTCGGCTGCAAAGCCACCGTGTGTCGCACTCGGACCTCAAGCCCTTTACCTGCGGCGCCTGCGGCAAGGCCTTCAAGCGCTCCAGCCACCTGTCGCGGCACCGGGCCACGCACCGCGCCCGTGCGGGCACTCCGCACGCCTGCCCGCTCTGCCCGCGCCGCTTCCAGGACGCCGCGGAGCTGGCGCAGCACGTGCGCCTGCACTGAGCCCGAACCTGCGCCGCCCTGCCCTCTCTGGGCCACCACGTCTGACCCACACAGCGCCACTCCCACATACACTCCCTGGTTCTGCCGAGGTTACTGCCTTACCCTGTGCCTCGGTTTCCCCGTGTACCCAAAGGAAGAAACAGCATTCCTTCCTCCCCCTCCCCCCTAGCTGTGTGATGTAGACCAAAGTTGTTGCCCCTCCCTGGGCCTGGGAGCCAGTAGGAGTTGGGCTCCTGTCTGGCTGTGCTTTGTGAGCCTTTGCAAACGACGCGATCTCTCTGAGCCTTGTTTTTCGGCTCTCTCAAGTGGTGAATGGTTGTTGTCTGCATAGAAGGCAGAGAAAAGAGCACCGGCACGGTCTGGTTCGTCTCAGTACCTCCCCCTTCTGCCCATGMCCCCCCCCCCCCAATTCGTTGCTCAATAAACATTCCTCACTCCACTTTCAGGCTCCTACTTGCGTGTGTACTGGGACGGGGCAGGGGGTTAAGACCGGACCTTGGGCACCCAGGAACCTTCTTCTCGATGTGTGTTTCCAGCCGGCGCCCATTCCCTAGTTCTCAGGTGCCCCGCCTCCACGGTCCTCCCCTGGACCCTCATCTTTTTCCCCCCGACCTTCGCTCCCCTCACCCAGTGCCGCCAGCACCTGGGGACATCCAGAGGTCCCCGTGCCGCCGCCGCCTGAAGCTGCGAAGGCAGCTCRGGGTCGTCTGGAGACGCCCGGACATTAGAGGCTGCTGCACCGGGTACGGGGCGGGGCGCGAGGGAGCCGAGCGGGGGCGGGGCCGCCGTGCCCGGCACCTGTGCTGGGCTGGGAGGCCCGGCCTGCGGCGTCCCAATCCGGCTTTTCCGAGAGCTGGTGGTGCCAAAAGGCTCTGCAGGCGGCAGGCGAGGGCCATGGACCGGGGCGGGCCGGTGGAGAGCTCCAGGGCCTAGGAAGAGGTGTGGGGTGGAGAGGCGCGGACTAGAGGGAGCCTGGAGGTACAGGATGGACCCTCACCTACACCCGGGTCGGGCCATAGCCTGGGAGAGGCCGGAGCCATAGAGGGGCAGTTACCTGAGAAGGGCAGAGGGGGAAGGGGAGCAAGGTCCCGGTTGTGCATCAAAGAGAGAGTGCCTATGAATACGGTGGGCAGTGGAGACCAGAGGACAGGAGACCTCGCCCGCCTTGCAGAGGGTCACAGAGTACAGTACTGGGTAGAGAGACTGAGGGGCAGCAAAATGCAGAGGTCCTGGTAGGGCACATAGAGGGGAAAGAACTGAACCTGTGGTTCCGTGCTCCTCTGTGCTGTGCAAACTTCTCATCCTCTCTCCCATCCACCAGGCCTCAGCCACCCCTCCGGATGCTGGTGCTGCCGTCCCCTTGCCCCCAGCCCCTGGCGCTTCCCTCTGTTGAGGCCATGGAGGCCCCTCCCCCTCGGACAGGCAGGTCCCCTGAACCTGGACCTTCCTCCTCCACTGGATCTCCCCAGACTTCGTCCCCTCCAAGGCCCAACCACTACCTTCTCATTGACACCCAGGGTGTCCCCTACACAGTGCTGGTGGACGAGGAGTCGCAGAGGGAGCCTGGGGCTGATGGGGCTTCTGCGCAGAAAAAGTGCTACAGCTGTCCTGTGTGCTCCAGGGTCTTCGAGTACATGTCTTACCTTCAGCGACACAGCATCACCCACTCAGAGGTGAAGCCATTCGAGTGTGACACCTGCGGGAAGGCATTCAAGCGGGCCAGCCACCTGGCACGGCACCACTCCATTCACAGAGCCGGCGGTGGGCGACCCCACGGCTGCCCGCTCTGCCCTCGCCGCTTCCGGGATGCGGGGGAGCTAGCCCAGCACAGCCGCGTACACTCCGGCGAGCGCCCGTTTCAGTGCCCACACTGCCCGCGCCGCTTTATGGAGCAGAACACGCTGCAGAAGCATGCCCGGTGGAAGCATCCATGATCTGGTATCATGCATCCCAGGGTTGTAGGACTACTGAAGCCCTGAGACACTTGTGGAGGTGCAGGCCTGCTCTCAGGGCCCTGGACACAGATGAAACTGGCCTCCTCTGGAAGTGATTCCCTTCCTGGAGGAGGAATCCCTAAGCCATTGCTGCCAGCTTGGTGCTTTAGAGCTGTGATGGGCACAGTGAGCCCTCACACAGAATGGGGTCCTTTGGCTCTGAAGACCTGGGGTGGTCCATGATAGAGCCCTGACTGGAGGGGCCAAGGGAGAGAATGTTGTGCCTGAAAACTTGCCCCTTCAAGAAAGCAGCCCTTGGGAGGCCCCACTGTCTTCCTGAGGCCACTATGCTGACACTGGGCAGGGTCCAGACCTGCCTTCTTTTCCCAACCAGGACTTGAGGCTGGACACCCAATAAACAGCTTCCCACTCTGAGCACTTGTTCTTGGAGACTGCATCTTGGACCTTCTTTGCTCACCACCTAGTAGAACCTGCCTCCTGTGGGCCTTGGCTGTCCTGGTTAGGGAATAGGACTGTTGGCCTGCCCTAGCGTCAGGCTCATCTCAGCTCCTGAAGACTTGTGTCATCTGGAAGAGTGTTTTAAAACTTTCTTTAAACATAACCCACTGTAACATACATGTTTTATATGAAGCCCAATGTACAGATACACAAAATGTATGTAAAAGGAGTTTCTTCAACAATAGCCACCTTTAGTATGTGCAGGGCCCCTTGATTTTTTTTCTTTTCTTTTTTTTTTTACTATTTTTATTTTAAATGTAGAGTCCATCCTACTATATTAAATCTCTGCCCATGAACCTGCAGTTTGGAAAACACTGATCTAGGACAGATGGCTCCCCCTGGACCTTCTGATCCAGGCTGCAATTTGTCTGTAAGTGAAGCAGGAGGGGGATGGTTGCAGTTCTCTTGCTTGGAGCAGACATTCAGACTCTCTTCGAAGGGTTGAAACCTTGCACTCATAAGGGCTTCACAGTCCCAGAGCACAGGTACTGCTGGTGAATGGGAGGAGAGGAGGTGGAATTGAGCTTTGAGCTTAATAAATATCTGCCTTCTTAGCGCATCTTCCTTGCCTATTTTGTGCCAGGCACTGTGCTGGGCTTACTTTCCTGTTCCAACCTCTTTTGGGGCAGAAAAACTAATGTCCCGTATGCACTCCCCAGAGTGGGGAAGAACTGTCCCAGGGACTGTTCACATCCTTCTGTCTGACCTTAGATAAAACCAACAGCGCTGAGATCTTGAGCCCTGTGTGTGGCCAGGTATTAGGCTGAGTTTCTGTGCGTCATCTCAGCATTCTCATAAGGAACCTAGTTGGGATTGTAATCTCCCCACTTAACAGGTGAGTAAATGGAGGCTGGGGACTGGACTCCAACTGTTCCACAGCAAGCTCCTGGTCACCTTTATGGGGTTGGTGGTGACTGTTTTTGGACCTCATTTCTAGGTGAGGGGTAACTCTCACTCCACTTGCCATCCTGGCCCGACATCCCTGGAAACCTTGGGTTCTGGCTGAGAGAGATGGGATCATACCAGCTAGTTCCTGGAGAATCACTAAGAGCGGATTCTCCTCTCTTCAATTTTCCTGGCTTGCTTCTCCCTTCTCCCTGCGACTTCCCCAGTCGACTAGACACTGGGGGACCCCCGGAGCTGCGCCAGCTCTTCAGGATGGGAATTTCTTGACGTTCCCTGCCTGTTCTATGTGGGAAGGCGGGGGGGAGTACTTCAAGGGGCCATCGCGCAAGTGCGGCCTTAGCCTCCGCGCAAACGGTGGGCCTCACCTGGGCGCTGGGACTTCTAGAGGAGGCGCTCCAGGCAGGCTGGACGGGGCAAGTCCCCGCGTCCCTGCCGGCTACGCTGCCCAGTTCCGAGACGACCCCCCCAATCCCCTGCGTGCTCGCGGGTGGGCGCTTCTCTCCGCTCCCTGTGACACTTTGCAGACGTTCCCCGGCGCCAGGCAGGGGCGCCGCTTCCACCGTCGGTCCCTGGGCTGGATTCCGCGCGCGGGTGGGTGAGCGCGGGGAGCCCCCCCGGCTCCTCGGACCCCGGGAAGCCATTGGTGGGGTATGGTGGCCGCATTCGCACCCCTGGCCTGAGCGCGCCCCTGCTGGGACCCTTTTCTATGACTGTCCTCTCCCACTCGCGGGACAAAGGGCGGGGGCGGGGGCGAGCGCATCCCCACGCGTGACCTTCTCCCACACTGTGCACGTGTCCTCCGCCACAGGGAAAAGGCCCTGCTTGCCCACGCGAGTGCGGGGGAGGGGCGTGGGGTGCCTGAGGGAGGAGGCAGCGGTGTGGGCTGGACTGCCACCCCATGCCTGGAAGTTGGGGCGGTCTCCCTTCACTGTACCTAAGGCTCTTTTGGAGCGGAAAATGGTCCGTGGTGGGAGCCCTTCACATTCAGGCCAACGTGACCCTGCTGTGTGGATCCCAGGGGGAACCCAGCAATTCTCCCTATATAACAGGGGTCCACGGCCCCAGCTAACTTCTCCCCAGAACCTACGTGTCTGGGTCCTGAGCACCTTCATTCAAGAGGAGTCTGGAGTATAGGTCCCTTCCTCCCTCAGACCTGGGAGTCCAGGTCCTTTCTCATTTCCGAGGAGTGAGGCCAGGACTGACCCCACTTGTGGCTGCTGTTTCTGTCCAGTGCCCCTGAGGCGCTCAGCTGCTGGGTCTGCAGGAAGCTTCGTTATGAATGACCGAAACATCCATAGGTGGACAAGTGAGGAGCCTCCCTTCCCCAACTTGGCCCATCATCCCTGTCCCTCCTTCCCCGGCTGCTGTGGTTGGGGGTGGTGAGAGGCCCTGAGTCATCCCTAGGGGACCACCACGGGCCTCTCCTCTACAGTGAAGAAGGACGAGGAGGCTTTGGAGATCTCCATCCCCTTTGATGAGGCGCAGCGCCTAGACTCACAGATCTTTTACAGCCTCAGCCCCTCCCGGGGGAACTTCGACGGTGAGCTAAGGGCTTGGAGGTTTGGTTAGCTGGGGTGCTGCCCTGTGGTGGTGAGTGACTGGGGACCCTTTCCCCTCCCTGCTGTCCCTAGAGCCTCCAGAGGCTGCATCCCCCACACTGGCCCTAATGAATGGCGTCAAGGCTCAGCTGCACATGGCCTTGGAGAGGAACTCCTGGCTGCAGAAGCGCATTGAGGACCTGGAAGAAGAGAGGGATTTCTTGCGGTGTCAGCTGGACAAGTTCATATCCTCTGCCCGGATGGACACAGGTGGGGGGCACTGACACAGTTGCCCCCAATCCGTCCCACCCACAGGCTGAGGCCCCACTGTGTGGTTGGCTTGGTGGGGTCCTGGCATCTTGGTCCTGTCCGCTAATTTACTGCTCAGCTTCCATCTTGCTTGAAATCCAGGACCTCCCATCCCCTAGGATCTCTTCCTTTCCAGTAGACTGCCCCACACCCCATCAGCCCCCAGCCCCTGTGTCCTAGGGTAATCTGGAACCTGAATCCAGGTTCCTCTTCCTTTTCCCTAGAGGACCACTGCAGTCCTTTGGGTTCTTCAGGGGACCTTGCCCTGCATCCCAGCTGTCTTTTCAAGCGTCCAGGCCTCCAGCCTTCTGTGCCCCAAAGTGACTTGTCTTCCTACCTACCCTGTCCCCTATCTTGGCTAATGCTCCTTCCTCTTCAAAGAGCTTCAACTCTCTGCAAGTGGAGTCAGCCTCTAACCTGGGGACCTTTTTGGTGATCATAGAATCTGTTCTCCCAACCCCCTTCACCTTACTCTGCTGTAATTCATGGCCAGCAGCAGCCTCCCAAGGCCAGTTTGTGATTGCCCTGTTGGCAATGTTCTGACCACTATTCTAGCCCTTCCCTAGAGAGTCAGGGCTTCCCTTTGCCAGATCTTGAGCCCGTCTTGGAGAACTCAACTCTGAGCACCTCCCAACCTCAACCGGGTTCCTTGCAAACTTCGTAGCTGGTAACTGCCTCCAAAGCCTGGGCAAGGGTCCTGTGGTGTTTGAGGTCTGTTACTAGTGACCATAGGATTATGGATCTGTACTTTCCTGTCTCTCTACAATGAGGGTTTCATCCTGGGTGACTGCCTTGGATGACAGGACTCTCTGGGTCTCTGCTGCTGTCTGGGTATCCTTAGCCAGAAACGTGGTTTTTAGGGGTCTGACACCACCCACCAGGACCAAGGCCTTTTCTGGCTTCTGAGTTTCAATACTCAACACTCTGGAGGTTCCTCTGGGTCCCTGGACAGCCCGTTCTCCTCATGGGAACCCCACATGGTTAAGATCTGCCTGAAGTCCTGGTCCCCAGACCTCTGGAACAGCCCTCCTCCAGGCCTCCAACTTTAGGAGCTTGGGAAAGGGGTCCACCCATGCCCACCTCCTCTTAAGTTCCAGCTGGCCTACTCTACTCAGCATTGTCACCACCATGTGCAATGCACTCCTTGTCTGTCTTGGTGGGGGCACCCTGGTTGGGGGGGTCCAGTCTCTCACTGTGGGATATGATCTCCAGGTGCTCAGGCTCTTTCTCTTTCCCCTGGGACCAGTGATGTGAGGTCTGCAGTCCCAGTTCATGTGTCTCTGTCTCCCCAGAGGACCACTGCCGGGTGAAGCCTGGGCCCCGGAGGGTTGAGGGGGACAGCAGGGCTGGTGGTGAGGCCTCAGACCCCGAATCAGCAGCCTCCTCACTCAGCGGGGTGTCTGAAGAAGGCAGTGCGGGCGAGAGGAAGAGGCGGAACCAGAAGGGAAATGCAGGCCGGAGACGCTTCGGGAAGCCCAAGGCTCGGGAGAGACAGCGGGGTGAGCAGGATGCAGGTGTCCTAGAGGTCTGGGCCCCAGACTTGTGCTGTGACTTCCGCAGAGCCCCGACCTAGCTAGCCTCTCCGTGTGTAAAGACTAGACCTGGGTGCATCCCGAAGCCTTCTCCCCCACTTCATGACCTTGGTRTCTTCCTCAGAAAGAGGAGGGCCTTCCTCATAGGGTGCTCAAAAGCGGATTCACTTAAGTGGGAGGAGTGTGGGCGGGTCTGGGAACGCGTGGCTGACAGCCCTCTCCGCTTCTGTCTCTGGCCTGCCCTCTCCAACTTCCCCCTGGCCCAACCTTCTCCCGTGCGCTCCTTTCCTCCTGCTTTCTGTGCTCCCTGTCTTTCTCCATTGCCCTCACCTGCTCTGCCTTYTTGATCTTCTCTTCCCTGCCTCCATTTCCTTTCCTGTGTGTCCCTCACCCCTTCCCATGTCTGCCCTCCTGTTTCCTATTCCGCTTTCCCTATATTTCTCTCTGTCCGTTTGTCTGCCCTCCTTGGCTTCGCAGTGAAGGACGCTGATGGGGTTCTCTGCCGCTATAAGAAGATCCTGGGTACCTTCCAGAAGCTAAAGAGCATGTCGCGGGCCTTCGAGCACCACCGCGTGGACCGTAACACAGTGGCGCTGACCACGCCCATCGCAGAGCTGCTCATCGTGGCCCCGGAGAAGCTGGCCGAGGTGGGCGAGTTCGACCCGTCCAAGGAGCGCCTGCTTGAGTACTCGCGCCGCTGCTTCCTGGCACTGGACGACGAGACGCTCAAGAAGGTTCAGGCCCTCAAGAAGAGCAAGCTGTTGCTGCCCATTACTTACCGCTTCAAGCGGTGATGCCCGGCTCGCGCGGCCCTCCCGCCGCCCCGCCCCACCCCACCCCACCCCACCCCACCCGCGGCGGCCCGCTCCCCCAGGGCTGCCACCGCACTCCACGGAGTCAGAGTTATTCAGAGAATTTAAATTAAAGAAACGTAAAAAATTTGGAATAAACTGGGCCCAGCTCTTCTTAGGAGGGGGACGACCGTTGCCACGGAGACGGGGACGGCCAGGCGGAGCCAGGAGGTTGGGGAGGACAGGGTGTAATTAGCCCCGGAGACGTAGGAGTGGAGGGCAGGAGCTGTTGCTCAAGAAACAGGATCAGGCTCCAGAAAATAGGCGTAACACGGACCCCTGGGCTACCTGGGCAGAGGTGCGGTGGGAGCGGCCACCTGGGGGACCGGGATGTGTGGGTTTATACTGCTGCCAGTCCGCCAGGGGGCAGCATGCGAATTGGTCCTTCTCCCGGAAGTGGCATTTCCACTGTCTCCCGCGCTTCGGCGGAGAGGTGCTCACGCGCCAGCTAAGGCATCGAGGAGAGGGATGTCTAGCTTAACGGTCGGGAATTCAGCACTTTTATTCTGGGAGTGGGAGGGTAAAAACCTCGCGCATGCGCACTGTGGACCTTGGAACCCGTCTCGCTTTCGGAGCAGCCAAAAATCTCACCTCAGACGGATTTCTACGCAGGCGCAGACGCCTTTCTCGCCCCCACCGCCTCTGCCACCGTGCGCAGGCGCAGAAAGGCGCGCTGGCAACCTCCGCAGCGGCCGCGCGCTCCTTTCACCTGGCTGGCTGCTTTTGTCTCGCGCTCCTACTCAAAGCCCCCCTGAGGTTGAGCTTTCTTTTCTTCTGCTCTCCCCACAGGGAGAGCCAGGTGCCGAGAGCCGGGACCCCGCCCCCTTTTCTGCAATCCCTTCCCAGACCTTTACTCGTCTCCGTCCTCCTTCCCCTTTTCGATTCTCGACGCCGGAAGGAGCCGAAGTGACGACGGAAAAAGCCGAAGGTGTTTTCCGAGAGTGAGACCTTTCCGAAGCGGTCGGAAGGAGCCGAAGTTCTCCGGAAGGGGAGGAGCGAGCGAGTAGAACCTCCGGAAAGAGCCGAAGCTTGAAATCGAGTTTAATCTCTGTAGGGGCCTGTGGGCGAGCGCCGGAAACCTTCGGAAAGGGCCGAAGTCTGGGACGGTTAGGATTGTGGGAAGTGACCGACGGCTTGGACAGAGTCGGCGAAAAAGATCGGGGTGAATCTTCGGACAAAGCCAAAAACTGAGACGGTTTGAATTGTTGGAAGAAGCCGAATTCTTAGAGGGGACTGGGCGCTGAGGAAATCGAGACCCACGGAAACCTCCGAATGTTGAGACCCTAATCTCCGAAAAGTTACCGAAACCTAGGAAGCGGGAGAACTGTCGCTTCGGGTGTTTTCGGAAGTGGCCGAAGCCGCTGCCAGCCTATCCTTTGATCTGCAGTCCGGAAATAGCCGACGCGTTTCGGAGCCAGGCTTGGTGGAGAGGGGCAGCTTGCGGGGGGGTGGGTGGGCGGGGCGAGGGGGTGGAGCCGGGGCGGGGCGCTGGGGGCTTGATTAGGTAGGCGACGAAGCGCCGGCGGCGCCGGAAGTAGCCGAAGCCAGCGGCGGAAGTAGCCGAAGCGGCCAGAGCGGGCGGGCGGCAAGGCGAGGCGAGAGCTGCACAGGGCCCTACGCGGCCGCCTCAGCATGTCGGACTTCGACGAGTTCGAGCGGCAGCTCAACGAGAATAAACAAGGTGAGGGTGCCGGGGTCGCAGGGCGGTGGCGGGACCGTCTCAGGCTTCGCTCTTTGACCCCCGCCATTTTCCCCTCGCGGCCCCCTCCTCAGGGCCGCGCCGTGGGCCCCCCCCGCTTTCGGCGCGCGCCTCGTTCACGTGACCGCCGTGTTCCGTCGCGCGCGGCAAGGGAAGGGGCAGCGGGCGCGGCTTGTGGCGCATGCGCGCCGCGCCGTTCTGGTCCCACGTGGTCCTGGCGGAGGTTGCGCGGGGGACGCGGTGCCAGCGCGCCAAGGTCTTAGACGCGAAGGTTCGCTTTTTCCCTTTGGATAGGAGACGATTTTAAATCCTGTAATCCCATCTTTTCACCCGCTGCTTTGGACTTCCGCTTCCGGCCAGGCTCTCGGCCGTGACTCCACGCCCCCTTTGTTTCCAAAATGGCGGTGGCGGGGACTCGGGGGGCCCCCCTTCCCTCCTTCACGTGGACGGCCCCCTCTGCAGGCTGCGGCCTTTCTCGTCCCTTCCCGGCTTCTTGGGAACGCCGTGCCCGGGGCGCTGGGGCCTCGGAAAACGTGGGACACCTGTTTTCTCGCGGAAGCGGGAAGCGTCTGCCCTCTTTGTGCCTCGCACGTGCACCCSGCGCGTCCGGGGCCTTCTGCGGGCCCGACGTTCACGATCTGTGGAGCGTTTGTGTCCCTTGTCCTCAGTCGAGACACCCCCCGCCTGTCCGAGCCCAAACCCGGACGCCTACCGTCAGGCTTGTAAATGATCTCTGGACGGACGAGAGAACCGAGGCCCTGGGCAGCGCGACGAGGCGCTGCCCCTGCGGGCGCTCGTGGGGAAGTGCCAGGCCGGTGCCGGGCCCCTCGCAGAGGCTGGCAGCACCGAGCTCGAGTTAGGGACTCCAAGAAGGCCCAGAGCCCTTGGATAGTCCTCAGGTTTCTCATGTGTCCAGTTTGGTGTGAGTGAAGGGACCGTGGCGTAGGGGAGGTTGGCGACTTCAGGCCTGAGCTGTGTTCCTAGCTGGAGTTTGGAGGACTGAATGTGACTCAGTTCTCCGTGGAACCCAAGCTGGAGTTGATGCGGGAGTGAAAACAGTGCTTGAAGAGGTGCCTAGGGAGTGCCCTGCCTACTCTGGTCCTGTCTAGGTGGTGTACTGCTTATGAGTCCGAATACCTTCTTCGTTGTTTGGTATCTATGTGATTTGAATACTTTTGCTCTTTGGGTTTTTTCTTTTATTAATCTGTACATTGACATCACTATTTTGCCATTGAGATTTGAGAGGGTTCATGAGAATGATGTTGGTAGTTGRAATTAGACTCTGAGAGCTTACCACGTGTCAGGTAATTTGCATGGTTTATCTAACTGAATCCTTGTAACAGCCTTCCGAGGATAAAATAATTACTTCTTTTATAGTGGAAAGGAGACTGAAGCTCAAAAGCTTAAAAACTTTCCAGGGTTCCAGGTGGTCAGGAGCTAAGTTTAAATGGGGTAATGTGTAAAGTGCACTGCATGTGGCTGGTCATGTTAAGCACTTAATAAGTGGTGTTTATCATTGTGAAGTCTACATTCTTAGGAAGGAAGTAGAAAGGCATGTCTTCACATAGACATGGTATCAGGGTTAGGGAAGGGCTGGGAAATACGCTTTCCAAATATTCTGCCAAGTCCTTGTAACACCGGGGTAGTGTTATACTTGACTTTAACTTAAGAGAAAACAAAGTGTCTGAAGTTCTTTAGGTTGTTGGTTGGGGGTGTAGTTCAGTGGCAGGGTTAATTCTCGGTACTATAAACACTGTGTTGCACTGTTTTATGCAGAGCTATTTCACTCTCTTGGACTGCCAGGTGGAGCTGCTTTAGAGGGTGCTGGAGGCTGTTGAAAATGGACTACATCCGTTCTCCTGGGGTGTCCCTGCTGGTGCAGGAACTCCAGGGCCTGAGACCTAGGCACTTCTGGGTTGGTGGACCTGCTCCCACAAGGTTCCACAGCCTCCTACAGCACAGCATTTTGAGCAAACGAAGAAGCTTCCTTTCTGTTCTTAGCTGTCCAGCATCAGTGTGGGGGAGAGTTCTTGCCCTAGGGGAGGCTCTGTGCACGTGTTACCCTGCCGGTGCTTCTTTTCTTTGTGGGTTATCCTCCTAACATCTCTGAGCTTCAGGGCCCTTCAGCTACCTAGGTGTACAGGGAATTTCTTTGTTTCTGAACTTCAGCAGGAAGTGCTCTTGGGCCTCACAGAACTGTACCTTGTGCTGAGTATTGTGCCTTTGTGTTTGCCCTAATACTCCACAGGGGTGGTCTGTCCCCAACTCTCTCCTCTCCTGATTCCAGTCTTAAATTTAGTTTTGGCTTCTGAAGAGAAAATTGTGAGAGGACTGGTGCCTGGCGCTCATTAAGGAATATGGCCTGGTGCAGGTTTCATCATTTCCTAGCTGTTAATTCTTGAACAAGTCATGATCTCCCTGGGCCTCAGTTTCCTTATTTGTTATGTGAAATCTCCACCAGTGTTTTTTCAAAGCAGTAATGTGGAGTTAGAGTGAGTAAAACTATGTAGTGTGGATTCTGAGTGTAAGAAGCATCTCAAGTGTTACCAAAAGGGAATCTTTCTGGGTGCCCTTTTTCCCCTGAGCGTTGGTGGTTCTGGAATTGAGAAGAATTTACAAGGAGTTTGTGTTTAATCACATTGGAAAGACGTGTTAGATGAAAGACACCTAAGATGGGCAGGTTGTAAGGCCCAGAAGTCTAACCTGACAGGCTCTTCTCATTGCCTTTCCCTCCTGCTGCCCCCAGAGCACAGCACTCACAAGGCATAGGTGTGAACTAGGAGTTTGTTGATGTGTTCATCTTTTGTTGTGCTTGAGGGGTTGTCGTGCAGATATCAAGGGTGCCTGTGAATTAAGGGAAGAGTATGTGGTGGTGCTCCTGCTCCACCTTGAAGGGCCCTCTTCCTCCTTCAGAAGGTGAAGGATCTGCCGGGAGCAGAGCTTTCTGTGGTATTGCTGGCAAGGTTGTGCTGAGTTTTAGCCACTACCTCAGAGGCAGATGAAGCTGAGAAAGCAGATTGAGTCCTGGCAGGGACACAGGTCTCACTCTAGACCTTCCTTTGTGGCTATGAGGGTGTGAGGCAGGGAGGGTTGGGTGGTTTGGGCTTCCAGTCTGGAATAGGTGGCTTTTCTCCACCTGCTGGGGCTTYTTTCCTCTTCAGTCTGCACATTCAGAAAGAGGCCCCTCCCCTGGGGGAGGGTGCTCCTGCATTATTCACCTGGTTGGGAAGGGATGGAGTTGAGTTTCCTTCCTTCCTGGGGTTAGCCTATCCTGCCTGGCATCTGGCCCCTGGGCCTGATGGTGGGGCTGTGGGTGCCAGTTGGTTGCGGAGGTCTTTCCTGAGGGATTGCTGGGTTCCTTCAGGAAATCATCATTGGGTCTCTTGATTCCCCAGCCTCTAGCCCTGCCCCTCTCAGGGACGACCCTGGGGTCAGGCCCCTCAGCCCTCGAGGGGGACCAGGAGCCAGCCTCCTCTGTCTTCTCTGGCTCCTCAGCTCCTCTTGAGCATCCTCAGGTATCTTACACCCCGGGGGCATTTTCAGGCCCTGCCCCCCCTGGTCCGCTCAGAGTCCTTGGGGACTTGTGTGTGGACCCAGGAGGCCTGCTATCTCCCTTCCCTTTGGGGGTGGCCTCCCTGGGGCTTGGGAATTAGCACCAGCGTGCAGGGTGGGCTGGGCTTGCATCCTTCCTCTGCTTATCCCATCCCATTGTTTTCACCTCTGTCCAGAACGGGACAAGGAGAACCGTCATCGGAAGCGCAGCCACAGCCGCTCTCGGAGCCGGGACCGCAAACGCAGGAGCCGGAGCCGGGACCGACGCAACCGGGACCAGCGCAGTGCCTCTCGGGACCGGCGACGACGAAGGTATTGGGGCTCAGGAACCCCTGGCTGGGCCTGCTTGGGAATGGGGGTGTTTGCAGCCCCAGGCTGTGATCTGATCAGGGGTGTGTCTGGGTCATTTTGTTATGCCTTGGGGGAGTTGTCTGCTGCTTGGTTTGTTTTGAATTCAGTTTTCTCCTCACTTCTCAGGTTTACTTCTGTGTTCTGTGTTGGGGATATTGATGGATTGTTGGGGGTGCAGTGGTTTGTTTGTCTGGAGTCAGGGCTCCGTTTCTGAAAGGCTGCTCTCTGTCCCTGATGCTGAGGGACTAAATTGTTCTTTCCTATTCTTCCTTTTCTTTTGGGGACTGTCTTCAAAAGGGTTGGTCTCTGTTTCTTTGTCTCCCAGGAATAAGGGTGTTCTTGGAGTGGGACAGTACTCACAGCCTGGGCTTAATTTCAAGCTCAGGGCTGTCAGTTATATTTGAAGGGCTCTTCTCAGGTGTCCTCTGTGTTCTTTGCCTCTATTAGATGAGAGAGAGTGGGGTATGTGGAGGTTCTTCTGCCTTCCCATCTCAGTATCTTCATAGTGTGGTTTTCCTTGGCCCCTTTCTCCCCTTACTTCCTCTTTCCTGGGAGTGGGAGTGTCTTGGGGAAGGTGGACTGGCAGGGCCGAGGGGGGTGTGCTTTGACTCTTCACCTCGGCCCTGCCCCAGCCCTGGGGCTTAGTGCTCTTGGGGGGTGTGGCATGTGGGGAAGACGAGGGTCCCCAGTCACCCCTCCCCATACCTTTCCCTCCCACCCCCAGCAAACCTTTGACCAGAGGCGCTAAAGAGGAGCACGGTGGATTGATGTGAGCTTCTCTTCCTGCCCCTTCCACCCTGAAGTCCACTCCCTTCACCTTCCTCATGTCCTGTGCACCCTGCCTGGCCTGTGTCCACCCTGGCCCAAGCACTGGGGAAGAGTCTGCCTGCCTTGAAACCAGCGCCCCTCCCCAGTCCCGGGCCCTGCCCTGACCCGGATCCTCTCCCTCCTGGAGAGAGCTGAGCCTATGTGGTGGGGAATTGAGGGGGAGCCTGGGAGGGGTTCCTGGGTKGGGCCTGCAGGCCCACTCTTGGTCAGACTGAGGTTGCCCTGCCCCGCTCTCCCTTCCACTCCCTCAGTCGTTCCCCCCGCCATGAGAAGAAGAAGAAGGTTCGTAAATACTGGGACGTGCCACCACCTGGCTTTGAGCATATCACCCCAATGCAGTACAAGGCCATGCAAGGTAGGACCCCTGGGTGGTCTGCTCTGGAGGGTGAAGCATGGAGGTGAGGGGCAATTGTCTCCATTTGTCTTTCTGTGTGTGTGTTTTGGGGGGTTGAGTTAAACCAGATGAAGGGTCACATCCCTGGGCTTCTGGCTTCTGCTGGAGGAGGAGATGATCTGAGGTACCTGTAGCGGAGTTGGGTTGAGGCTTCCACCCTGTTGCTGTTAGGAAACATGGCTTCTAAGGAGCATCCATTATTGGGTTTTGGGGTCTGGTAATGGAAACCCTGGGGGTGGGGGAGTTTAAGAGTGCTGGGTGGTCCCAGAGCTCAGGTTGGAGGTTGCCTTAATGTAATTTTACTTTGTTTCCATCCCTCTCTTGAAGCTGCGGGTCAGATTCCAGCTACCGCCCTTCTCCCCACCATGACCCCTGATGGTCTGGCAGTGACCCCAACGCCAGTGCCTGTGGTTGGGAGCCAGATGACCAGACAAGCCCGGCGCCTCTACGTGGGCAACATCCCTTTTGGCATCACTGAGGTACTGCCCTCCCCTGCCCCATCCTCTCCCCTGTTCCCCCACCCTGTTCCTCTCCTCCCCTCCCCTCCATTCCCTCCCCACACCCTGCACGGGTCAGACTCTGTTCCTGCAAGACCCCCCGGCCCCCTCCCAGACGGACCGATGGAGTTGAGCCAGCCAGGGGCCGGGCTGGGGGTGGCCCCTCCCTCCCTCCCTCTTCCCCTCTCCCCTCTCCCTTCCCCCAACCTCCTTCAGCAACCCAGGGATCACGTGCACACACGATTAACCTATATATCATACCTCGTACCTCGGAGAGAGACAGAGAGGGAGACTCGGACACACACACTCGGAYACACTCGGACACACACTCAGACGCACGCCCCCTGCAGTTTTTTCTGACACGTTCTCCTTTCTGCCATCTATCCCATCCTTTCCCCCACATCCCTCCCATGGTCGCTGTTCTTTTATTTTTGATTGCCCTGACCTACCCCCACCTTCCCCACCGCTCCTCTCCCCTGCCCCTCTCCCCCACCCCTTCCCGTGGCACCCCCTGAGAATCCCGAGATCAAAGAGTTGTTTCCATTTCTCTTTAAAGTGAAATATTGTGGGGCTGAGATCCCTCGTAGCAACAAAAAGTTTGCTACCATCGTCGAAGGCAAGTAAGGTCCATTCTGACTTTCTCAACCTGCACTTTGCTACATTTGATAAACCAGCCCCCGGACTCCAGGGCCAGGTCCCTCCACATCACTCTTTTCTCCTCCCCTCCCGCCCCCCTCCCACCCTGCACTCCGCCTCCCTGCTCTGTGCTGGTCTCTCTTCTTCCTGCTTGCCGCTCTCTGGCCGTCCCTGTCGTCTCGTCTGCACTGCGTTCCTCCTTGTCTTCTTCTTGCCTTCGGTTTGTTTTCTCTTCCTTTCCTTGTTGTTGTCATTTTTTTTCTTGAATGATTTTCCTTTTTCTTGATTGGTTTGGGGGGCCCCCTGGGGCTCTCCCCCTGCACCTGTCCTGACTGCCCTGTTTGTTTCCATCTCTTGTCCTTCACTGCCTTTTGCTACTTCTTTTTCTTTATTTTCTCATTTTTCTCCTGCTTTTGTTCCTACTATTGACCTCTACACCCCACCCATATTCCACCATTCCCTCCCTTCCCCTTCTCCCTTCCCTTGTCCCTCTCCCCTTACCCCAAACCCCTCTGTGTCTCCCTCTCTCACCCTTCCCCTCCTCTCTCCACCTCCCTCCCCGCCCCTCCCTGTCTCCTATTCCCTCTGCAGGAGGCCATGATGGATTTCTTCAACGCCCAGATGCGCCTGGGGGGGCTAACCCAGGCCCCTGGCAACCCGGTCTTGGCTGTGCAGATTAACCAAGACAAGAATTTTGCCTTTTTGGAGGTGAGCTGGGCAAGTGATGGGGTGGGAGGGGAATGTGTGGTCCCTTGGCATGTTGTGCTTCCYTGTGCTGCCCATTACCACTGGCCCTCTGCCGTCTCTTCTGGTTGCCAGAGTGAGCTAAAAAACCCTGGCAAATCCCATCCTCCTTCTGCCTGACCTTGTTCTATATGTGGCCTGGGAGGCCTGCAGACCTCTTCCAGACCAGTTTGATGCCGTACTTTGCTCTGGCCATGCTGACCTTTTCCAGGACCTACCAGGCCCCCACCAGGGCCTGGGCTGAAGTGGTTCATCCTGCCTGGCTAACCGTGTTTCTAACCACTTTTCTTTGTCATTGTTTCTCAACCTGTCTGGTAGAGGACCTTGGTTTTTAAATTTTGATTTTGGGTGGGCCAGTATTCTTACAAAAACCAGGCATTGCAGCAACAACAGGTTGCTGGGAAAGCTTCTGGGTGCTGCCTCTGACTCTCCACATTGGCCTCGCTGCAGTTCATTTTGAACTCCACAGTTCCAGGTTTTAGCTTAAGTGCTACTTAACAGCCTGCAGTGCCTTTACTTCCTTATGTATATAACATCCCCACTCTGTCCTCTCAATACTCTGTTCCCCTTCACTCACATCAGACTTGCAGCTATGTGTTTGCCTCTGCATCTGTGTTGGGTGTTGGTGACTGCACTTGGGGGAGAGAGCCTCTAGGACCAGGGATGTTCTGTTGTCCAGCACAGGGCCGGCACAGTGGTGTCTGCTCATATGAGTGAAAAGAAAGAAAATCATAGCCTATCACAGAGCCTTGGGGGCTGAGGCCTGGTCTAGTCCTTGACCCCTGCCCCTTATCACCCCTTCTCTTCCCTTCAGTTCCGCTCAGTGGATGAGACTACCCAGGCCATGGCCTTTGATGGCATCATCTTCCAGGGACAGTCACTGAAGATCCGTAGGCCTCATGACTACCAGCCACTGCCTGGCATGTCGGAGAATCCGTCTGTCTATGTGCCTGGTGAGTAAGGAGCCCAGTTTTTGTGCCCACCCTTCCCGTCACTGAGTAGCTAGAGCTACTCAGGAAGTAGTGTGCTGCTTTGGATGTGCAGCATGGCAAGTGTGGTCTCTGGGTCCCAGATTGTGAGCTGTGAGCTCCTTGCAGACATACAGCTTGTAAGTGGCAGGTCAGGACCAAACCAGAGGTGCTCTGGGAAGCACAGGGCTTATAATCTGTTCCATGACTTGTCTCTGCCCCAGGGTCTCTTGACTGTAGGGTCTCGAGTGCTCGTGTACGCCACTGTGGTGCACATCAGAAGACTTCGGTAAAGCTCCTCATGTGGGGTCTGACACCTCAGTATTCACTCATTTATTGTTGTCTACTCTCTGCTTTGAATCTGTGCTGTGGATTTTTTACCAAGTTGTGATTTGTCTCACTTCTGATAGGTAGTTAAAGACAACCAGGGCTTGGCAAATATTTGTGTRTGGGACCTAAGTGATCGGGTGCCTGTGTTCCATTGCACCCTAACATCCGTGATTGTTGAGGTAGGCACACTGAAGTTTTTTAGAAAGCTTATGGGCTTTGGAGGTAGAGGCCTTGGGCCACTCTCATCCTGTATTGACAGTAGGTATCAATGAGGATTGAAGCTTGTTTGAGGCCCATTTGGGTATGAAAGCACTCTGATCCTGGGAGGGGCCAGTGCTGCTGGAGCCCAGTGAGTGAGGTGCCTGTCTCAGGCATGTTGGAATGTTGAGAATGTAGGGTTCTGCTGGCTGATCCTCAACTGTAGAAACAGCTCTACCTAAGCGCACCACCTGGTGACTGTGTGTGGGTACTTCTCCCAGACAGCTACAGAGCATCTCCCTTGGGCCTCCACCAGTGAACTCAGTGTGCTTAAGTTCATTTCTACTTATGTAAATAGCCCGCCAACTGCTGGTGCTTGCTGTGTGCCAGGTACTGGCACAAATGCACTGTCCAGCTCTTCTTGAAACCTTCACAACAGTCCGGTATAGTGTCATCAGTTTAGACTTGAGGGACACATCTGGTCACTCCCTGTTTCTATAGATGAAGATTTATGGGCACAGAGTCCTGTTGCGCATTGCTTATGTGCTGTTAGTAGCCAAGCTGAATAATTGTTGCACAGGCTGAATGGACTACAAAATCAAAAATACCTTTTTCATGGCTATTTACTCTGAAAGTTCGCTGACTCCTCCTATATTAGATGTGACTCTCATTTTACATAGGACAGAAGTGAGGCAAGGGGTGATTGATAATCTGCCAAATGTCCTGAAACCAGTGTCTTGGGCTGCTACTTACTCTCTCTGTCTCCCTCTCTCAGCTTGACCCTGGGATCCATGAACAGCCATTCTATGCACTGCCTCCTACATACTTGTTACTCTTCTTCTGAAAGCAGAGGTGTGCAGGGGGACAGTTGCTTTTGATTATGCTTCCTTTGTGGCAGGCTTTTTCAGAAGTGGCCATTACTATATAAACTGGGGAGATCACTCGTTAGTCTGTCTGGGATGTGCACCTTGGGGGGCCTGTTTGTCCAGTTCTTACCTGTGGTTGGACTGATGAGTTAGGAAATGTGATTCTGCCTGTAGGCTAAGTATTTTCCAGTGTAGCTTTCCTTCTGATATAGCTTGTATTTTGATCTCCCCTTTTAGTGCTGCAGAGAAGGACATTACTCTATAAAGACACTAAAGAAGAGAAAGTATTTGATAAAATGAACAGATCTCTTGATTAGACAGGTTGGAAACTGGAAGACAACTTTCTCACCTTGATGAAGGGGTATTTGATATCACCTGAAGGGATGCTGTGCAAGATGGTCCAGCCCAGGCGAAGCTTCCCACAGTGGGCCCCAGCTCACCCAGGGTTAAGCTCACCTTTGGCAGTAGCATCAATTGTGCTTGTCTGTGTGCACTGGCGTCCTCCCGTTCTGTAGTTGAAGATGCTGGGCCCTTGGCAACTACCGCTGGACCCCAGGGAGCCCAGCTCTCCTGTCCTCACTGCTGTCTCCCCGAGGTGCAGCACAGTCGTTAAGCTTGGATTTGGAGCCTGGGGACACATGACCCTCTTTGTTGATCACCTGCCGAACTCCCCTGGGCAGGGGAGAGGAGCGGTGGGGAAGGTGGGGGGAGGTTAGGGCAATCAAAAATAAAAGAACAGCGACCATGGAGGGATGTGGGGGAAAGGATGGGATAGATGGCAGAAAGGAGAACATATCAGAAAAAACTGCAGGGGGCTGCTTCTGAGTGTGTGTGGCCATAAATTGGCCTGTGGACAGACCTGGAGGCCACCCTTTTCCTGCCTTTGTGGCTTTGCCCCATACTCAGTTTACTCATTTTTATATTGTAGCCGGGGCTTTTGCACACATTGAACTAAGATTGAAAGAGATTGGGCCATGCCTGGCTTGTGGCCAGCATTTAAATGTGTTGTTGCTTCCAGGATGTTTCTGCTTGTCATAGTGACATCCAAGCTGGGTTCCCTGTGGTCTCCCTCAATCTGCTGGGGCCCAGCTCTAGGGGACAGAGCCAGCTGGGTTGGTGCCTATAATTCTGTGGGTGCTGGAGGGGCAGGGAGAGAAAGAAAGAGTACATTAGCCCAGAGGGTAGGTGGGGCCCAGGGGCTCAAGTTATGGGGCCTTTCATTTTCTGCCTTTTCTGATGTTCCCTAAGATCAGGATGGAGGTGGGATGGGCCACTAGTAGTTGGTGTGGGGGACTGCTAAGGAATGGGAGGCTATGTGGCCAGGCTTTGAACTGGGCGGTCAGGGTAGATGGCTGCTGGAGCCTTACAGCTCTTGTCTGACAGGGTAGTTCTAAGAATGGAGTGATAAAATTGGCCAAGTGTGTTGGAAGCCATATTGAAACATTGGTCAAACACTTGTCTGAGTCCAGAGTTCAGGGCAGAGTCGAGGGCAGGACTGAGGGCTGTCGAATTCACTTAGCTCGTGTGACCATGGGCTGTGACATTTCAATCCTAATGTACCCTGAATATAGCACCCCATCTTGAGTCAGCAGTTTCCACTGAGGTTGGAATAGCTGACACAGATTACTTGAGCAGCCTGAGAGCAGGCTTCCTCTGTGGTGTCACAGATGAACTGGGGCCCAGAGACAACCCACTCTTCTGAGGATAGGTCCCTGAAAACAAAGGATTGAATGATGTAATGGGGAGGATGTTCCTGGGCAGTTGTCAGTGGGACCTGAGGAGTGAAGGAGGGGTTTGGTGTGTGTCCCAGCAGTATGTCCAGAGTTAAGGTGACTTTTCGGTGTCACACAGCAGCATGTGTGTGCCAGCATGTGGGTCTAGGTGCCAGGAGGCTGTTTTGGGGGCGGGGGATGCTGCTAGCTTGAGGTTCCTCTGAGACTGGACCAGTTTGGGAGACACCCTGTGTTCTCACATGGGGAGTGCTGTGCTTCCTTGCTTGTATCCTTCTCAGGCTGGGGTGGAGATGAGAGTGATACTTCCATCTTTATCAAAGTGAAGCCTCTGAAGGGCTCAATCTTGTCATCTGGGAGATGACCTCCTACTGCAATTGAAATCCTTTTCTCTCCTTAGGAGTTGTGTCCACTGTGGTCCCTGACTCTGCCCACAAGCTATTCATTGGGGGCTTACCTAACTACCTGAATGATGACCAGGTAAACCCCTTGCTTCCTTCCCTCTCCTCTTCCCCTTTCCTGGCCTGACTTGAGCCCTGATGGATTCTTGACCTGCTGCAGGTCAAAGAGCTACTGACATCGTTTGGGCCTCTTAAGGCCTTCAACCTGGTCAAGGACAGTGCCACAGGGCTCTCCAAGGGCTATGCCTTCTGTGAGTACGTGGACATCAACGTCACGGATCAGGTGAGCCCTGGCAGCTGTTTTGCTTCTTCTGTCTTTCCCAGCCCTGCTCAGTTTCCAAGCTGAGGTCTCTCCTCCTCAGGGCATAGGGTGGGAGCTTAGGGCCCTGAATGGGACTCTGCGCCTTTCCTTTGATTTTGGTTCCTTCCAAACTCAATCCCCTTTGCTTTCCCCTCTGCCCACCAATGCCCCGGTTTGTGGGGAGGTGCTGGGCTCCTGGGCCCTGACCCACATATCTCCTGCACCTTCCCACCCCTCACCTTCTGACTGCAGGCCATTGCTGGGCTGAATGGGATGCAGCTGGGGGATAAAAAGCTGCTTGTCCAAAGGGCAAGCGTAGGAGCCAAGAACGCCACGCTGGTGAGCCCCCCGGCACGTCATCTTCATTGGCTAGAGGGACCCTGGGGGTGGGAGGGGCTGGTAGGGGACAGGTTCTCTTTAGCTCTGCCCAGCTTCAGCGGGAGGGGATTTGGGGGATCATCAGAAGCAGTATTGGGGAGTAAGGCATATATGTGTTCAGGCGGAGGAGTGTCCTTYCTCTGAGTTGGTTTCTGAAGGGCATGGCCTTGAGTGGAGGGAGGCTGGTCTGAATCCCCTGTGACACCTTGCCTGCCCCTCCTCCCACAGAGCACCATCAATCAGACACCAGTGACGCTGCAGGTGCCGGGCCTGATGAGCTCACAGGTACAGATGGGCGGCCACCCTACTGAGGTCCTGTGCCTCATGAACATGGTGCTGCCAGAGGAGCTGCTGGATGATGAGGAGTACGAGGAGATTGTGGAGGATGTGCGAGATGAGTGCAGCAAGTACGGGCTTGTCAAGTCCATCGAGATCCCCCGGCCTGTGGATGGCGTCGAGGTGCCTGGCTGCGGAAAGGTCAGAGCATCCTGGCTCAGCTTATGCCCTCCCTTCCCTGCACCCTTACCGAGTATCCCTCTGGACCTGGCCAGGGGAGATGCTGGTGACCCAGAGGATCAGGGCCCTCTGATGGAGATGAGCTGTTGGGGCCGAGAACTTGGGCTCTGTGGAAGCACCTTTGGTCTGGAGCCTGGCTCTGTATCTCCCTTGTTTGGGTGCTGTGTTTTGCCTTGTCTATGAGATGGAGAGAAAGGCTGTGAGGGTATTCCAGCTCCCGATTATGCTGTGCCTCTGGTGTGCCAGATGCTCTGAGACTAGGGCACTCTCATGGGAGGGGACAAAGCACAGAGGTGACATGCCACACAACCAGGTCCAGGTCCCTGCAGTCTGACTTAAGAGCCCACAGTCATATCACCCCTGCTCTGTGCCCCAGGTCACTGTACTCACTGATGTATTCAGTATGTCAGTGGAATTCTTATGCCAAACTCTCGTCTAAGCAGAACAACTCCTGCCCTCAAGTACCTGAAGTCCTGGGCACTGTTGTCAGGGAATGTATGCCATGTTGGGTGGGAAATGGGGTGGCCCAGATGCCCTTTGTAGAAGGGGTCATTGAGATCCAGAGGTGGCATTAAGAAGACAACAGTGAGGTTCAGTACCCTCACAGTAGGTAGAATGCACAGCAAGCAGAGAGACGTCTGGACATGTTTGGGAACAGTGAGGAGGCCTGTGTAGCCAAGGAGAGCAGTGGGAGATGAGCTCAAAGAGCAGGTGGATCCTGGTAGACCCTGGGGTGTGGTTTTGAGTGAAATGGGAAGGTAGCTGCTGGGAACCTGGCAGGTAGAGATGACTATTATAATGGGTACTGAGTAGGCATCTGCCCTGCCCTGAAGGATAGAAGTGTGGCGGAATCCTTGGGATTCACTGAGGTTCATTGAGGTCGCAGTGAGCAAGAACTACAATTGTCAGGAGTCTGGCTCTACAGCACTGTCAGGGAGGACTCATGAAATTATGGAAGAAGCTTGGGATTTTCCTGGGCGTGGTGGGTTTTTAAGAAGAGAGGCAATGTTCATGTTTTTGGTGATGTCTACTGAAGTTTGGAAAGTGAAGTAGAGAGGATCCAACAAGAGTAGGGTGATGGAGGAAGAGTTTCCTGCAGTAATCTGTGTGAAAGATATTGCCTGTTCTGGTGTAGTCACGTACTATGCAGTGACTTCCTTCTGTGACAAGACTGCATAAAGAGCCATGGTTCTGTTAAGATTCTATTGCCGTGATATTATTTGCTGATAGGGTAGCCAACACAGTTTGCCACAGTAGTAAAATGGTCCATGACCCATTTGGTGCAACCTGTATAGTCTTAAGTAGCCTATGACCGACTAGTTGCAGGGGGTGGAGGGAAGCTGATGGGTTTGAGTTAAATTTTTTGTGTAGGGGGGTACTGGGTAGAGCTCAGGGGCACTTAAACACTGARCCACATCACCAGCCCTTTTTTTGTATTTTATATAGAGACAGGGTCTGAGTTGCTCAGGGCCTCAGCCTTCAGAGCTGCTGGGATTAACAGGTTGAGCCATTACACCTGCAAATTGATGGGTTTGAGGGAGAGTTAAGCCTTTAAATTTCCAGTCCTTGGTGATTGGTTTGGGTATGTTGGGACAGGGAAGGAGGAGGTCCAGGAGATGCTAGGAGTGGCAGGTGAGAAGGAAGGTTGATGAGCTGGTATGTAAGGGTTCAGCAGCCAGTGTTGGGACAGCTAGCCTTGAGGTTTCTGACACCCCAGTAGAGATGGGTAGGAAGCAGTTAGCTGGACAGATGTGTATTCCAATTGAGGGCTCATGGAAACTGGGACTAGGTGAGGAGGGCCAGCGGCAGCCTCTCCCCTCTCCAGGAATCCTTGATAAGCCAGTTGGTCAATTTGGTTCAGTCTGGCACTGCAGTGGAAGCCTGGCTTAAAAAAGGGCCGAGTAAATATTTGTGGGAAGAATAAAGAGACCCTGGCCTTTAGGATCAGTTGACCAGTTTTTATTTACTGTTTCTGTTCTTAAACTTCATGATACTAACTTAATATTATGGATCTTTTCTTTTGGTACATAGGGGATCAGTAGAGGTGTATTATTTATATGGTAGTATATACAGTACATGTAGTATCATCATATTGTCCCACCACCTGTCTTCAGGTTTCCAGTTTTTGCCATTTTCTTCATTCAGTTTATCCCTCCTGCCCCAGTTTTGTTTGAATATTTCAAACATAGTTTAGATGTCTTTTGCCTGAGATAATAACTTTTTCTCAGCCAATATCGGGCTAGTTAGCTCTGCTTTGGGTGTTTTGTGCATCCTAGGCGCTTAACTACATCCCCAGCCTGTACCTACTAGATGGCCAGCAGTGCTACTTCCCTTTTTGTGACAACTCCTACATATGAAGATTGCTCAGTATGTCCTGGGGACATGTCTCCCCCTAATTGAGAACCGATGCTCTAACCAAATAACCTTAAAATGTTTTTTTTAGTTTGGTGTGGTACATGCTTATAATCCTAGCTACTCGTGAGGCTGAGGCAGTAGAATCACAAGTTTGAGTCCAGCCTGGGTAGCTCAGTCGTAGGTAGATCTGGGTTCAGGCTCCAGTACGGGGTGGGGTTGGGATTAACAAAATCATAATATACTCATTACAATAACAAAGTAAACATTCATTTCTTGGTATCTACCTATGTTCAAATTTATTACTGTCTAAAAAATATTTTTTGAATTAAGGATTCAATCAAGATCCCCTCTTACCAAGTTTCTCATCAGTTTTATCTCCATGTCTCACTCCCACTTTTGAAGTCAAGCTGTTTTATGTGTTGAAGAAATAGGGTCATTGGTTGTATAGAATTTAGGCTCTTTATATGCTCCATTTCCTCTAAACTGGTTGTTGAAACACAATTAGAAGTAAATTCAAGTTTTTATCATCCTGGATTTGAATTCTAACTTGTGGCTTCCCTTACTTCATCCCGTATCTGGGGAAAAAAGCATGGCCCTCGGTGGCTCTGGATGCTCTCCACAAGGTGGCTGGTGCAGAGTAGACAGAGTTAGTGACTTCTTTGGGCATTTGCTTACCTTCCGAGCTGCCCTGCGTGATTCAGGTGACTCTCAGGCATGCCTCTGTTCTTTCCATGCCTGTGAAGTATCTGATCTGTGTTCCCTTGTTTTATGAAACTGCACCTATAGGTGTAATTTTTCAGAAAGCTGTGAAGAGGCCCTTTTTCTTTCCCTTCTGCCTGTTATCAATCATCGGCTTGGATGGATGTTGGTAGGTTACTGGGAGGCCAGCCTTGTTCACAGACCTGCCTCTTGTTCCCCACAGATCTTTGTGGAGTTCACCTCTGTATTTGACTGCCAGAAAGCCATGCAGGGCCTGACGGGTCGCAAATTCGCCAACAGAGTGGTTGTCACAAAATATTGTGACCCCGACTCTTACCACCGCCGGGACTTCTGGTAGAGGTGGCCTGGGGAGGGTGGGGGCAGGGCTGGCTGGAGGCTTCTCTCCCCGCCTGTCCCCCCCTTTCCCCCCTCTGAAGATGATGGGCAGAGGAGTGACAGCCGAATGACAGCCTGACAGCCGGCAGCAACTGGAATGGCAGCAATTAAGGGTGGGGGGTGGGGGGTTGGGAGGTTAGGGCAGGGAAGGGACTGGGGAAGTACACACAGGCCCACACAGACACGCACCCACACAGACACAGAGGGAAGGGGTTGGGATGGGGACGGGCGCACAGCAGGGCGGGTAGGACCCCCATGGCCCCTCCCAATACAGTCTTTCCTCCCTTACACCCCWTTTCTCCTCCCCTTCCCCATGGTAGGAACATAGCGTGTTTATATTTTATGGCCAAACTATTTTGAATTTTGTTGTCCGGCCCTCGGTGCCCTGCCCTCTTCCCTTTGCAGGACCACAGCTCCCGTCCTCTGGTCCGCCCTGGTTTCCCTGGTTTCTGAAGTAGTTGGTTCTCTATGGCCTTCCCTGACTCGCTCCCACCCTAGTCCCGTGGCCCCTGTCCCTCTCCTCCTCTCTGTGGCAGTTTCATATTTGCTAAGACGAATTTGCTCATTAAACATTTTGTTGTATTTTACTTTATGGAGCTAATCTGTGTCCACTGTGTTTCGGCCCTGCGCGGCGGGTGCGGGCTGGGGATTTCGCCCTTGGGWGGGTCTCTCTCCCGATACCCGGGCTGGGTGGGAGGGTGTAGGGGTCCCACGTGGGCTCCTGCCTCGCCAGGGGGTTCGGGCGCGTTGTGGCCAGGTCCAGGACCTGGCGGGGCCTCGCGGAGGGGGCGGTGACGGGCGGAAGTGGCGCAAGAGCGCCTAACCTGGAGGGTTCGTGTGCCGGAAATGATGCTGCCCGGGCAGGCTTTGGTCGCGGAAGCGGGGGCTGCCGGAGCCGGGAGTAGCGCAGAGGGCGGGGCGCGTGATCACTTCCGCTTCCGGTCCGTCGGCTCCTTCGGTTGCTTCCCGTCCGCTCGGCGGCTCCCCTCCCCCGCCCGGCTCTCCGCGCCCCTCCCGGGCGCCGGGGCGGCGGGGCCGTCGGCGTGCGGCTCTCCGTGCGTCCGCGTGTGCGCCGCTGCGAGCCTCCGCCGCCCGCAGCCGGCGCGCGCCCCGCGACACCGAGGCCGAGCGGGGGCAGGGGGCTGACCGCCATGACCCCCCGGAGCCCCGCGTGAGGGGCCAAGGTGAGCGCGGGCCGGGTACCTGGGGCCGCCAGTCCGCTCTCTGCCCGCCCCGTGCCGGGCGCTCGGGCCTCGGCCGCGGCGCGCGGGCTCCGGCCGGGCCTCTGCTCTCTCCGGTTCCTCTGGGTTTCGTCCGCCGTCGTCCGTGGCGGCCTTTGTGCCTCCGCGTCCGGACGGGCTCGTCGGTCCGCTGTCTGTGCCTCTCTCGGTCCGGCTGTCAGCGTCCCCGTCTCCGCTGCCCCTCTSCCTGGGTTGCGCTCTCGTCTGGAGCTGGAGTGCCTGTGTGTGTSTGTCTGTCTGTCGGGCTCCTGTGCTTGTCTTCCCGGGTTCTGTTTTCTCTCCCGAGCCTCCCCCGCTCCCGTCCCCTTCGCCGGTCTCCTGCACGTCCTTCCGGCGCGCTCCTGCTGGGTCTGGGACCTGCGCCTTTCGGGGTGCCGGGGCTCSGTGTGTGAAGAGCGCCCGCTCTGGTCCTGGTGCTCGAGTGATACCCGGCAGGCGACTTCGCTCTCCAGACCTTAGTTTCCTAGTCTTAAATGTGTGTGATTGGTACACGCAGGGGTCTGTGCCTCTTCATTGAGGTGGTATTGAAAAGTGCCCAGTGTGTCTGGAACAGTGTGATTAGCTGGGAGCTCTGTTTATTTATTTTTTAATTAGAAATTTTTGTCTCACTAAATGTTTTATATTGGTCATTTGAGTTCCCTTGTCGAAGTTTGTCTGATATAGCAGTTGTATTCAGCTTAATTCAGTAGTTCCCTTTGTATCAGTTTGATTTGAAAAACAGCTTCACTCTAAGGGTGTCTATTGATCTTTGACTTGAGAGGTGTGTTTTCTTAGAGTGTTGAAGTAAGTACATGGCATTAAGATAGCCTATCTTGGGATGCCACCCTTTGGAAATGTTCTGTGTTCCTCTGATAATGATTGCAGACGATGTTATTGAGCGACTACTATCTGTGGGGCACAGAGCCAAGCACTTTGTGTACCCATCTTACTTAATCAACAACCATGCCAGGTAGGAATTCTTTCATTTCAGAATTGAGCATACTAAGTCTCAAGGAGGCTTGCTTTGCTGGTTTTTTTTTTTTTTTTTTTCTCTTGTTTCTCAGTCCCAAGCCTTTCTTTTGTTTTCGGCCTGTCTTTTCTCCCGGTCCTCCTGCCCTGCTCTCCTCTCATATTTTTGCATGATCCTTGTGTCTTTGTCTCAACATGCCTCAGGGCAGCCCCCTCTGCCCAAGTTTCTCCATGATTTCTCTCCCAGTATCCTTGTCCTTCCTTTTCTCTGTCTGTATTTGTCACAGTATCTCTTCATCTTCATGTCCCTGGCCAGGCTTATCTTGGGACTCTGGCTGCCTTTTCCACTTAGTTGTGGGCAAGGTTCTCTGCCTGAGTTCAAGGCAGCCACTCTTATTCACCAGTGTGTCCCCTGGGTTTAGGTCATGGTAAGGTTCAGTAAATCTCCATGGTTTGTTGGAGAGGCATAGACTGGTGGTCAGAGCCTCTTCTGGACCCAGGCTTCTTTAGGTGTGAGGTGTGTCCTAGGCAAGGGAGTTAGCCTCTCTTTGTTTCCTCCCATGTGAGGTGGCTGGGTTGCACGGAGATGTAAGGATTAGTTGAGTTAATGTGTGTGAAGCACTTAGAAGGTGCCTATCATGAGGTGAGAGCTGTGCAAATGCTTGCTGGTACTATTCTCATGAGCTTGATTTCTGCCTTCTGTCCAGGTCTCATCAGTTGGTCTCAACAGGTTCATTTAATTTAGGTTAATTTAAAAGTGTAAGTTTTAGAGCTCAGGTGGCCTTGGTTGAGCCTGCCTTGCCATTTCTGATAAGGCAGTGGCCAAGTTATTTAACCTCCAGAGCGSGTGTCTAATGCAGTGTTAGATGAGATAATGTATGCCTTATGCTTAGTGAGGCCTGACACATGGCTGGGGCCCATCAGTGGGGCTCTTATAGCCCTTATATCTCCTTCCTTGAGTTTTCCTTCCAGCCCTTGGGAGGGACGCCTGGTTTCCAGGCATCCCCCACTTCCTGCTGCCTTGGAGTGACTCTGGTCTCCCTACCAACTCCTCAGTCCCTCACCAGCCTCCTCTCCCTTGTGTCCTTGTTCTGCCCTGGATTCTCTGCTTCTTCTATCCAGATCCAGAAATCTTCCCKGCCCTCTTTTCTTCATTTCCTTCCTGCACCATTTATTGTATGATTTTCAGAGTTTGTAGAAAAAGCCATGTCCAAACCCATGTATGTGGTTTCTGCCCTGTGGGGCTTGTGGGTTGACCTCAGCCACAGAATCATATGAATGAACTCAACATCATGAGGGCTACAGAGTCTGCTGGGAGGCCCTGGGAAACCGTGATCGTGATGTTCAGGTGCAGATGTGGGATGGGAGTCTGGTGAAGGAGGAGAGCATGAGGGCAGGGTGATAGTCTCGTGACATGCCTGTCCAGTCTTTACAGAGGTCTTCTGTTCACCAGGTCCTCTCCGTTCTCTGGACTGCCACACAGATCTCCGTTTTAGAGAGGGCAGGAGTTTGAGGCCTGCTCAGGTTAGCCTGGCTAAGAAGGGGCTGAGGTGGGGTGTGGCCCCAGGGAAGTATGACTTCTGTGCCTGTGACCTGCTGTATATTCTGCCTCACTGAGCAGGGACCTAAGCAGGAAAGAGCTGGGCACATTTGAGGAACTGAAAGATGGCTTGGGTGACTTTCAGACAGAGGTTAACAAGGGACAGAACCTTGCAGGCCACAGTTAGGATCTTGTGTTCCTGTCTGAGGGGAGTAGGCGGCCTCAGGGAGAGGCCGGAGAGAGGGGGCTCTGGCTGGCCTGTGTCTGTTTGTGTTTTTAAAGATCCTTTCCCCCTTCAGATGCAGCAGTCTGCCAGCATCTGCTGCAGCCTCCCTCTGTGAGTTTCCCCATCTCTCCACGCCCCTTGACGCCCCTGACACCACCGCTGGACACCATGTCGACCTCGTCCCTAAGGCGCCAGATGAAGAACATTGTCCACAACTACTCGGAGGCGGAGATCAAGGTCCGTGAGGCCACAAGCAATGATCCCTGGGGCCCGTCCAGCTCTCTCATGTCTGAGATTGCCGACCTCACCTACAATGTTGTGGCCTTCTCCGAGATCATGAGCATGATCTGGAAGCGGCTCAATGACCATGGCAAGAACTGGCGGCACGTTTACAAGGTCAGCACCTGGTCTGTCCCCTGGGGCTGGAAAACTGGGACAGCAGGGTGTGCCCTACAGGGGAGCTTCTGGTTCCCCAGAGGAGYTGAAATGCTGTGCTTCTATGTAAAGTCTCTTGTTTAATGACAGCAATAAATGCAGTTGATCCTTGGCATCCCTATGGCGTTGGTTCAAGGTCCCCTGCATTCACCTAATCCAAGGATGCGTAAGTCTCTTCTTCAGATGGAGTGGTATTTGCAAATAACCTACCCATATCCTTCTGTGTACTATTTATCACTTCTAGGTCACTTGTTGATTTCTGACACAATGCTAACATTATGTGAGTAACTCTGATACTAAATTTTTTAGGGAATAATGACAACAGAAAAACTCCGTACACATTTAAACAGTTTTTACCTCCAGATATTTTGGTCCATGGTTGGTTGAATCTGGGAATGTGGAACCTGTGGATCATGAGTAGCAGATCTATAACATTCTAAAGAGTTTTGACCCTTGTGAAGTCTACTTTTGAATGAGTGAAATACTGGTAAGATTCGTGTGCTCAGAGATTTAAGGATTTAAGAGGGCCCATAGTTCCCTCATCCAAGGACATTCTCATCTGTGTCCTATCCAAGCAGGAGACCCCTTTACACAGATGACACTGGGCTGTGGGCATGTCAGAGAAGCATGGGGAATCTCAGCTGCCTTTCTTGAGATTTAAGAGGTCAGACCTCTCGGCTATACTCTTTATTGCTGCTGTGCAGCAACTACTAGGGTCTGATGTGGAGACCCCAAGACAGACAACAGGTGAGTGCTTGCCAGGAGTCAGGGTGGGGTGATGAGAGAGGGGCAGCAGAGGGAAGTTTTGGGTGACAGAACAGCTGTGTATCTTGGTTGCAGTGGTAGTTATGTGCTGGGGCACTTGGTCAGAATTGGGACTGTATGTTAGAAAGAGTGGGTTTGACTGGATGGCTCATGCCTTAATCCCAGTGGCTCAGGAGGCTGAGACAGGAGGATTACAAGTTCAAGGCTAGCACCAGCCACTTAGTGAGGCCCTAAGCAACTTAGTGAGACCCTGTCTCAAAAAATGAAAAGGGCTGTGTGGTAAAGCACCCCTGAGTTAAAGCCTCAGTCCCCTGAAAAAAAGAGAAGGTTTAATTGTATGTAAATTAGACCCTGATTTAAGAAAGGAAAAGTGAGAGAGTGTTTCTTTTTACAATTACAGAATATTTTGCTGTACAGATTGGCCTTAATTCCTTAAT